ATTTTATTTTAATTGAATTTTATTATTATTTAATTTTTCATTAGATTCTTTTTGTTTCACGTGAATTCTGTCCATCTTCGTATTTCCACATTTCCTATAAATGCAAAAAAATCCGCAGTCTAATTATAAGGCAAGAGGTTAACGTACAGGAATTTTCTTTCGTTCTCGTGTTCCACAACTAAAAAACGACTCGCCCGAAGAGCAAAAAAGAAGGAAAAAGTATAAATCACAATGTTCACAAGCCACCGAATCGATTCAACTTCCCGGAACGTTCAATCGAACGGGTTCGCCGCGTGGGCAAACATATTTTCACACAGCGACCCTGAACATCTGGATCCAAGCAATTTGAAAGACAAACACATTTGCGACCCCCTGGAGAAATTTCTCGCGATCGATGTCAGAAATGACTGATCGGTCGACCGCGAGGCCAAGAGAAGAAAGAAAAGAGAAAAAGGAAAAAAGAGAGCGGCGAAGGAGAGAGAAAGAAGAGAGGAGATCGCTCCGTGACATAATTTTCAAACGCGGGCCTATTGTTTGAGGAGTTTCTTAATAAGTAATGAAGAAATCGTCAAACACTGGGCATTCGATGAAAAACTAATGTTTTTGTCACTGTATTGTTACATTACTTTTTCACGTCTGTTGTTATTGTAGAACGCATGTACTTGCAAAACCATATTTTGCCTATAATTTGGTAAGCTTCATTTGAAATTTTTGAAATTTACGTGAAATATGTTTTACATTTTTGTTTGTACGGTTACCTTTTTAATTTATGTTGGAATGATTTTAGATAATGTTTTTCTTTAATGCAGAGTATAAATACTAATATTTGTATTGTTCTATTGCCGAATAGAATATTTCGAGTTTCACTGAAATAAAAAAATTGTTATGTGTTCGAAAGTTGAAATATTTATATCCATCGACATACAATTTTTAGAAATTTTGATGTGTTTCTACATAAAATCAGATGTAACTTATGAAATTTGGATAACGCCAAAAATATCTTTGATCAGTCGATTAAATTGTATCAAACATACCAAATTCGTGTATAATTAAAACTATTCCAACATAAATTTTAAAAAATACAAATCTAAACAATGTTTTAGGTAAGTTTTGAAGCTTCCAAATAAAGTTTACTGAATCATACGCAAAAGATGATTTCATGTTGTAACATTTGTATGCATATTTGTTCTACCGTAACAGTAGAGCTAGAAAAATATTTAATATGAAACCTCGAGTTTCGCGGAAAGAAGGGAAGCTTATTTGATATTCTAATAGACGTTTATTCATTCAAAGTACGCTCTATTCTGTTTCGATACACTTCTGCTAATGTATTTTTAACGAATATATTCCTTCTTCGAATTCAGAATATTTACAATTAATAAATCCTAAATGCAGTTTGCGACTCAGTTTGCAAAGAAACATCACCAAAACAAAATTTCGCAAATCGATGCTGCTCTTTCATTCATTTTGAATGAATGTTCAAAGCGTTGGAATATTCTAGATTATATTGCTTTTCAATATGTTAACAATGTTCTTTTCTTTAAGAATCTAGAATATTCCAAATATATGTGAAGTTAATGCACAGTGATCAAAGAATATTCTAGAAAGTGTGCGAGTGAGACAAGAGCATCTGAGTATATAAATAGTATGTGCGTTGTTTAATTTAGTTTTATTGTGAGCTATGATGAAATAATTATAGTTTCAAATAAAACTCTCTTTCCCACATATTACACGACCCAATAACATAACAGTACAAAAACACATTATTTTTCCATGAAACGTCTTCGACGATTTCGGCCCACCGTGCGGCGCTCCCAACTTCCGACTGAACATATTTATTCCCCTGCTCTCGGGTATTCCCAAGTAGGTCGCCAAGTATTTCTGATTAATGCCCGCTTTTTCAGCGCGCGAGAACGTTCGCTCGTTCTCGCGGAAACTTTTCTGTTCCCAGCGGAGAGCTTACACGCCGGACAATTATTTCGCCATCCGTTCGCGCGTCTTAATCCCGAAACGTTTTATCTAAGTACACATTTACGGGGACGGCCCTCGTTCCCCGGGAGCGGAATACCTGCGCGTTATTCCCGCTCGTTTTTAAAAGGTCCCATTTATCGTCGAACCGGAACACGGCCACGCGACTGTCCATTATTAAGCAGTCGTCATACATTTACAGGAAAGAAGATTTGTCGGGGCGTAGTTGCCCGTAAAAAAAGTAGCGCACTTGCCCATAAAAAAACAGCGCAGTCCTGTAAGAAGATAGCGGGGGATTTTTCGTTTCCCTCGATGCAAGTAATTCTCGTTATCTTCTTGCATGCAGAAACTCCGAGGACAGATACGACGTATGCGCTGTTTAACCGGTTAACTGCGTTCAACGAGTATACGCGCGATGTCAACCCTTTGCGTTCAGTTTATTTTCAATGCTGGGTGTGAACTTGTATTCATTTTTGGGGGATTGAATTGAAGTAATTTGCAGTGGTAGAATTCAACGTTTTATGTTTTACTTATTATTATTATGAGATTTAATTTTTACAATCTTTTAGAGTGAGGTACTTTTTAAACTTCCAACATTCTACGACAAATTTGATCTCGAACATCCGAAGACAATTTTTGTGGATTTATAAACATAAATTATCTAAAATAAAGCGTACAGATTTTTCGATATCTCAATTATTGAAATTTTTCTAAATATTTGAAGCTATTTTTTTGTTTAAAATCAGATTTTTGCTGTTTAAAAATACTTGCCATTTCCATGATAATCAAAATTTATTTATGAAAATATATATTTATAATGTTCCTTTCATGTAATTGCCCACTGCACTTTTATAGTTCCAAAACCTGCTGTTCGAGAATTGAATCAGTCATCTATGTATGTTTCTATTATAACAGCATCATTAGTGATCAATACAGTATTCAGCAATGAAGCCTTGCCTGTCAGGCTACTAATTACCCGAATATCCTAACATTTAAATGAGGCTAATATATAATTATCCGAACACAATGTCTCCTAACACTAAATCCCTCCTCCTATTTCAAATGGCATTTAGGTACAATTGAGTCATTAACTGCAACAATTTCGTTATTTCGTTGATGCAAACAAATGCCTTCCACATTAAAAAATGTATACCTCTTCAAAATAATGTTTCGATACTTTGAAAACTGAAGGAAACACAGAATTCTGTAATCATAAAAATTCTTCATTGCATTTTCACTAGAATATTTCGTAACCTTAGAAACATTGTAATAAATATATAAATATATTCTTATTAAAGCACTATTATTATATTTAATATTTTACACTATTTCTTTAAAGTGAAAATTAATCCCTTACCCTATAATAATTTATTGAAAAAAGAGTAAAATTCTATGCATATTCCACGTCCAATTTTGCTCTAAAATATAATCATTGATAACAGAAATATATTTCATTTGAATTCACAAGAACTGAGTAATATTTATGTTTGTTGAATTCTGTTGAATTCTGTAAGACAAGGGGTTATATAAAATAAATTAAATTATTATACAGAAAAACAATGTTATAAATTTCATTTTTATATTGTTACTTATGTGGAATGCTAATACGAATAGCATACAATAATCACCGAAATAAAACTATTCATTCGAGGATTACAACTAATTTTTTCGTATTGTGTGAATATTTTATCCGCCACTGTTCGCCTGTCCATTTAATTCATACAGAAGGGATTACCACAATGGAAGATACGGTAAATAAAAAATAAAATAAAAACACGATTAATCCTTGTTGCCGTGTCCGTTCTGCCGCGTTCTGTGTGCACGCATTTCTTATAAATGCGTTAAACCCATAGTACATCGACAACAATGTTATTCATTTTCACAGTTATTTCGAAACGAAAACGAAATTCGTGATCGAGTGTAACACACAATATGGTTTACAGCTTCATTATGATATAAAAAATCTGTAATCACACGTTTTTGCTCCATTGTTTGAAAACAAAGGGAAATTAAGTTTAATTCTGCAACATCGAAACACGAAAACAGACTGCTGAAAAGGCTTTCGAAAGAACAGTTAATTATTTTTAAAGAAGAAAATGTAAGATCTCTGTAAATCTATAAATGTTACAATAGTTACAATTTATTTTTTCCATGACAGAGTGTCTTTCACGTTATTAGAGTGTTTTCACATTATTCGAAATGTGTTCAGTATTTTGAAGCTAGTATTTCATGTAAATTACAAGTTCAGACTGCTGGAACTGTGTATTTAACCAGGTGCGCCATTTTTCTCGACAAAAGGCATAGATGTTTTTAATTCTCCTATGACAATATGTATGTGATTCTCGTTTGCTTTCGATAATTGTTAAAAATTTTAGGTGAAATGTAATATATACACAATAAAAGAAAATACGTATTATTGCTGTACTGTAATACGCGATTGAGCATAAACAATGCATCGTTAATACTGATATTTTACACTGAATCAATTTACTTTCAAATAGTTATTTTTATTTCCTCACATTGAGGAAGTAATATTTCCTTCGACTACAAGCTTCTGGAAATTATAAACGAAAGAAATTCGAACCACTAATTTTATATACCTATTATTCGATTACATTTCGCACACGGTAAGTCAGGCACAAGTTTCAAATAACTTGTTAACTTCCACAGGAATTATATCGAACAACAAACATCGTATTTCCTCAAACAAAAGGCTAAAATTCACCGTATATATAATTGCCATTAGTAAACACAACTATTTATATTAATTAACTAAATAAAGCACCGTTTGTTTGCTTAAGAATGAATCCTGCTTTATACGCCAAATAAATTTAATCAATTACAAACTGTAACAATGAAATAATACCAATAATACTAATGAGCAATGACGACACGATATCAAGGATAATACCGATAGATAGTAACGTCACTAATTAACGCAACAATAATGATTACACAGTAATAACAATAAGAACAAATCCCATGCATTAGTAACAACAATAATAAGAGAAAATCTCTAAAGAACCGCTTACCTGTATAAACAGCCAAGATGTAATTAGCGCCAAACTACTGTACTGCCCGTTGAATCGATAATGATAAGCGTAGAAGGAGAAGTGATAAAGAAAGAAGAACCTGGAACAAAGAGATTATTCTTTTATTGTATATTTTAATTTGTCATCCCCAATTGAGTCATTGGCAACTACTTTAAATTATACAGATAATTATCTATGTAAAATTGTCGATCACATAACAAGCCAGTAATTAATTGTTTTCTTTTCGACTGGCAATACCAAAATTACTTAACGGACTACATAATTCTCCGTCCATGTATTTGGCAGTATATTGTCGTGCGACAACCCTTTATCGATCAGATCGTATCAGGTTTCTGCTTATTAAAATATCCCGGCTAACGCGTCGCGCGGACTGTCATTAGCATGTCCAAGAATTCATGCGTATCGTAAATAATTCTGGATGCTTGAATCATTTTCGATATCTTTTTGAGACGCATCGGAGTTTGCGCAAATTTTATTTTCATTAGTCCGGATATTTACTTTCGAATGACACGTTGTTGTATTGAATATATTATTTTAAAGATATTGGTTCCGTGTATTGAAAGAAATATATTATTATAGTAAGGTACAATTTTATAATGTATTATTCGTTTAGTATAATAAAATCATATTTAATTTCGGTTTCCATACGTCTTCATTGTTTCTGGAAAAATTGGAACAAAGAAAAAATTGATTTCGCTGGATGGAAAAGTCTACTTTCTCCTGTGATTCAAGATTCTATAAATATATCTAGTTCAATGGCAACTTCGAGTTTTGATATCTAAATTCGGAAGCTGCAAATGAATAATTTAATTGCTCGAACAACGAGAGATTGATATGTGGTTTTCTTTCTTCTTATTATTTAAGACTTTGATACATAATTTAGCTTCTTTGTGGATAGGTTTTCGTAAGTTTAACAAAGTCTCGTCCGCAAAGGGTTAAAATACAGGAGACGAATTTGCATAAGAAGAAGAAATTTGATTGAGATATTCAAATATCCAAATAACGTGGTTCAATCAAGAAAAACCATGATGCCCCATGCTTAATACAGAACGTTCACACGTGAACCACAAAATGTTCTCACTCGTCGACTCATTGTTCAACATCGTGTCAGACTCGTATCAAAGATTTAAAATGGAATATAACAAATATGACACCTAATCGTTTCGAATTCAAATGAAAGATATCTTTTATTATTAATTCTAACGCTTCAAAGTAAACGTAGACGCTGGATAAGCGTAGAATTTCCATGTTTTCCTAATAAACGATGAACAATAAAATAGAGTTCAGAGGACCACGTAAAAAATCGTTGAGTTCATGCGCAACGACTTGGCATGAACGTTCGCCAAAGAACGATTTAATTTGTA